TATATATATATATTATAAGATGAGATTTAAAAGAATTGCCTTACATCAGGGGGATATTGTCACTACAAGTGCTGGAAGATGTTATGCATGCTACTGGAATATAAAAATAATAATCAACCTTAACCAGCTGTGAATCTTGTGAACTACAACAACTGGCCTCACAAATATGCCAATCAGTGCAATAGTGGCAGTGACATGAATATTGTGGGAGTAACCATCCACTCTCTAATTGGACTAAAAGTCCACTTCATAGTATGGAGTCCATACCTGAGATTGATATCAGACTTAGGAACCTGAAGCTAGACAGGTCACAAGGGATAAGGAAGAGTGTAATACTAGTTTTCTACTAAATAATTATAACATTAAACTCCTAATGTCTTATTATTATACCCATAGATGAATGCATCATTCAACTCTCAACAGAAATCTATTTAACAGATTGTAATTAGCACAGAAACCCACAATTGGATAATATGTGTAGATCAAGAGACTGCAGAGTGCTTATCCCTAAATAGGACACCTATTTCAAACTTCTGCCTCCCAAGGCTCTGGGACCATTGTGGGACAGAAAGATTGTACGAGCCAGAGGTGGTGAGGAAATAGATTTTTCAAGACAGCTGGTCAATTACTCATATGAACTCACATGCAATGATGACAGAATGTACAGATCTGATATATTCTCAAACCAAACACAATCCCAGAAAGTAGATAAGAAACCCCAACCCAGCCTAAGGAACTTTTAGCCACCAATAGCTGATGGGAGGGGTAGAGACAGTCTTTTTCAAGGGTGGGAGTCAATAGGTTAAGCTCCAATGCATGGACACACACAGACATTTGGGCTCACATATTAGACTCTATAGGATAAATATATATATTCGAATATATATAGGATATTACACTCTATAGGATATATACATTCATATTATATATGGAGATTAAAGGATATTTCTTTTTTTAATTTTATGTGTATGAGTTATGCCTTTATGTATGCAAGTACATCCTTGTCATGCAATGCCTATACACACATATGTGTGTGCACGCTCATGCATGTGTGTGTGTGTGTGTGTGTGTGTGTGTGTCATAGAGTACATTAAATTGGGCAAGAGGCAATAAGGAAGGTGTGGAAAGGAAGGGAATATAAATAGTATCAAACTATATTGTATGAAAGTCACAAAATTTCAATTTAAAAATTCTCTGGTGATTCTTATCCAATCAGTCCTTAATTGGCAATTTTGACACATAGCCAAGATGATAAACTGCATCTTCAAAATATAAACCATAAATAATTAAGAATAAGTAAAAGTTCAATCTATGAATTTAACATCCATTCATCAAGTATATAAGTTAAAATCTGTCAGGAACAAATTTGAAACAAATAGGTATTTCTCAATCCCACCCATTTTCTGATTTTGTTATACCTAGAAAATGCAGTTTCGTTTATAGCACATTAATAGCATGGTTATTATCACATCTGGAAATATTTCCAAAAATATTTTAATGAAAACAAAAATGAGAAATTCTTGCTGCTTGACAGTGAAACCTTGATTAATTTTGTCACATTACAGCAAAATAACAGCTGTTGAGGATGGTGACTAAAGGATATTTCTTTCTTTTTTTATTTTATGTGTATGAGTTATGCCTGCATGCATGTAAGTGCATCCTTGTTGTGCAATGCCTACATAGGACAGAAGTGGGTTTTGGGTACCCTGGAACTGGAGTTAGGTTGTTAGCTGCTATGTGGATGCTGGGATTCAAATCCAGGTCTTCTGCAAGAACAGCCAGTGCTCTTAACCACTGAACCACTTCTCTAGCCCCTGAAACTGTTCATAATAAAAATTTCTTCCAGCTGCACAAACAAAAGGAACAGTGTCAGGGCCCCTGTCTTCCCACCCACACCCATGCTCTGTTCTTCTTCCCAGATATACTTCTGTTCTTTGAAATATCTAGAATTAGGCCAATAAAACATTTTGTGCATAGCCAGTCAAAGAATTAACTCTGTTTGGTACCTCTCTCATCTTAAAATATGTTTATTATACAAAGTGTATCATAGTGGGGGAGATCACTAGTGCGTTTGTATAATATAAGCCACCCATGCTTCTCTGTAGTCTTCCCCACTTTGGACTTCTCTCTAGATCTAGATTCTAGAGCCTATATTCCTGTTATTTCTTTCATGGGCCTGATCTCTGAAACTGATGGTCTCAGAATATATTTGTTTCCTTAATACCTACACACCAATTATGTCAAATAGGTTATTTATTATGGAAAAGAATAGGTCGAAGAAATGGGCCTCTTAACTAGGAAAGGGAATGTCAAATGATTCGTTTAATAGGAGGGTTGACTTTTTAAAAAATGTGTTTGTTTGTTCATGTCCATGTCCTTGGTCCTAGAATTTTGTGAGTTATAACTAGAAAGGAACAATGTCTTGGATTCTGAGAGTCTGATGTTCATTTGACCATCTGGATTGGCATGCCCTCTGGAAGATAGAAAGTACATTACAACACACGTAGAACTCCCTGATAGGTGTTCCCTGCATTCACTACTCTTTTCCTCACAACTGATTTTTGCATAATTCCCCAAATAAGAACTATTGGAAGACTGATGCCGTGTAAGCTCAGAATTAACTGAAAACTGATTGCCATGGCCAAACAGGCCCTGGGAACCTGCTCCCTCTGAGATCACTCTGACTTGTCCAGTGTTAATTTGCTCTGCTATTGCCGCTTTGTCTGTCATGAAAAGAATATGGGCCTCGGAATAACTGCATTACCATTTGTGCTGCAAAAGTTCTCAGCCCAGGTTTCCACTTGACTCTCTCCCTCACTTCTGGAGACTAGTCTTGCAGATAGGTTCTATGTGCCAAGTACTAAGAGAAGATATAGACAGTGGAAGACTGACATCAAATGCTAACTTTACTGTCTGCTTAGCATTATTTTGACAGGACCAGTACCTAACATTCTCAGCCTTAGTTTCCAGTTCTGAAAATTGGAGGTCATTAGACTTACAATATTTAATGCAATTAATATATATGAAAAGCATGGCAAAAGTGAAATACTCTAAATGGCAGCTAGTCGTTTAAAAAAAATTAGGTCTCAATCTTCATAAGGACTCTCAGACTGTTACTGAAGGAATAGTGCTGGTCACATGCTAGTTTCCAGATGATAAAGTCTGTCCTGCTACATTTTTTGGAGAACCTTGATAAATGGGGTATGAAAGAGACATGGGTACAGTGAAAATAACATATGCTCATGAATTCAAGGTAATTCAGTTTTAATTTTGAAAATCTTGTCTCATGAGTGGGAACAAAAAAAAAAAAAAAAAAAACAAGGCCTGAACTAAAGAAACAACACTGTTGCATTTAATGTATCTTTCTGTCTCCAGATAGTTTAGATCTCAGAAAGAGGTAGATTTGAATCATAGATGACATGAAATGACAATAGTGCTATGGAAAGAAGAGTCAGAGAATGCGAACAGTTCTTTAAGTTGCAGACACATTGTTTTAATTTTGTACTTTGGGCAGAGCTGTTGTTTTTTTTTTGGTTTGGTTTGGTTTAGTTTGGTTTGGTTTTCAAATTTACTTTAATTTTTATTTTATGAGTATGTGGTTGGGTGCTGGTATATGCATGCCACATTTGTGAGAGGAGGCCAGAAGAGGGTATTCGAGCCCCTGGAGCTGGAGGAACAGGTAGTTGTGAGTCACCAGTGGATGCTGGGAAGCAAAGTTGGGTCCTCTGCAAGAAAAGGAAGTGCTCTTAATCACCAAGCCATCTCTCCAGCTCTTGGAAGAGCTATTGTAATTATTAATATAAACAATTGCATATTAATCTATGTAAGTATGTAGTCATCTTTCCATATATGTGTGTGTATTACACACACACATACACAGTAACAAACCTATATCACCCTTATGTCCATAATAAATTTATTTTCCCAGTTATGTAAGAGATGGGAGCAGTTGGTAGAAAATGAGCTTTGTTTCAAGAAAAATAATCTATTGTACATGTGACATTAAGTCTGCATATTTAACTTATTCTTTTATAAATGGCTACCTAAACGCCTTGTTAGACATACAAGTTTACACAATTTTTTGTTGTGTTTTGGAAAATTTTTATCAGCAGAATAGAACTAAAATTCAACTTTGCCTCTTATCAAGATGGAAACACTATGATTTGAAAAACAAAATTTCAGCTTACCCATTGACTGGCTGAAAGAATTTTGTTAAACTTTATCTCATTTATGAAGTAGATATTCAAATGCAAATAAAGATAGCAACTAAAAAGAGATGTTTTTTTTCAGTTGAAAAGAGTGTCTCTATGTATACATATTCATGCATTGCCATATACATTTGTAGTGTAGAACACTATATGCTGTTTTAATAAATATTTTCATTTTCTTTAAAATGTAACTACTTTGTAGACATATTTTAGATGCTTCCTTGGAGAATGTAAGTACCAACTTTTCTTAAAAAAATAATATTTATATGTGTGTTTTATTACAGGCTTATGAAAAAATTGCTTACTTCCTCACTAACTTAGGTAAGCCCATTTTGTTCATTTCACTTGAAGAAAATAATATATATGCTTATCAATCTTTAGCCACTTTGTGTATTTACTATTTTTTGTCTTCAGTTTGTGTAACTATTCACGAATAAATAACCAGAGGGAGATAGGATTCGAGGTTGGTCTACATTAAATAACAAAAAGAGGTAAAACACGTAGTCTAAAAGTTCCCTCTAGAAGTTAGCAAATAATTCCCTCCGTATTTATAAGTAAATGCCCAAGTGTGCGTGTGTGTGTGTGTGTGTGTGTGTGTGTGTGTGTGAATGTATTTGTTATGGTTTATGTATGCTTAGATGTCAGAGGAGAACTTGTGGGAACTGGCTCTCTCCTTCCACCATATAAAATGTAGGCTCTGGAATGAGAACATGTAGGTTGAAACCCCGTTTCCCAGTTTACTCTAGGAAGTTACAAGGTAGTACTCAAAAACTTTGTCTCTTGACACCTTAAAGTCATTGCCTAGAAATGAGAATAGTATTTTCAAAGAATGTCACTTAATATCACTATGAATTTATATATATATATATATATATATGGGGGGGTGTTATATAATTTAGAAACATGTTCAACTCACAAGCCTAGAATAGAAATGATAGATATTAACCTTTGCTATGTTTGTTTCCTACTTGAGGATATTAAATTTAAAAAATTAATATTATCTCTTAATTTCATTTGCTCCCTACATGATTTTTATCTATTTATTCCTTTCACCACTTTTTTAAAATTTTCTTAAATTTTTTGTGTGTTTCATACAGAACATCTCAATCTTAATCATCTTTATATCCCCAACCCCACTGACATCTTCCCATAATGCCCCCACTGGAGCCCATATACTCTGTCATCCCTGTTAAGGCCCACTATATTGTCAGTGTCCCCAGCCATTCACCAGTGCAAGTCCATCCACTGAATCTAGTCAGCCTATCTAGAGTCCCTTGTTTTAGGAAAAAGCTCTTCCTCATCTAGCAGCAATCTGTTGCCAACATTTCTTCAGAAAGATTGGGGCCTGCTGTTCATTCTTGCAGTTCTATACTGGGACTTGTGTGTGTTAACACACCATTGCCATAGATTCATATGAACTTGTAGGACTCTGTTTCCGTATGGTCGTATACCTCCTCCTTGGCTCTTTTAATCTTTCCTCCCCCCCCTTCTGTGATGGTGCCTGAGCCTTGGGTAGGTGAAGTTTAATAGAGGAGTCCTGTCCAAGGACCAGCATTCAACAGACTTTTAATCTCTATACTTTGGCCATTTGTAACCTTTTGTGTTCCTGGCCCTCCACTTCATGAGAACTGAGGGATTCATTAGTGTCCTCTTCTTTATCCTTGTTCTAGGTTCCATAAGACTTAGGTGTAGCGGTTGCATTGTATATGTGCCCCTTAGGCCTGGGCGATTCATAGATAATGCCTGTGTGTGACCAGTTGTGGTACCTGGTAATAGTTTCTGACTGGTGAAAATGAGCTTCTTTGATGAGTGGTGATTGGAATATTTGTCTGTAAATATAAGGATATATATTTTGCACATAGTGAGAAATCACATTGGTGTAGGGATATGACAGAGTCTTGGGTTTTCTCTAAGATCTATGACCACTCCAGCCATGTGTATTAGGTTATATTTACATGACCACACTTGAATTTCCTCCCACTGAGTGGGCTTTTAGTTAAATTAGGTGATTGCCCCCAAGATAAAAGTGCCACTACTGCACCAATGCCGTATGCTGTGCTGGCCTATGATGTGGTTGTTTGGTCTTGAAGCTGGTGTTGGATCATCTATTGATGTCTTCTTTTGGCACCTTCATAGCACTCTTGAAAGCTATACCTATCCTTCAGGGAAAGTGGTTACAAGTCACTTGCAGCTCTATTTCTCCAAATCCTGTGTCTGAAGTACATTCTGTCTTCAGCAATAGAGTCTTACCTTCAAGTTCTGAGAGGCCATCGTGGGTTGTGGCAATATCCTGAGTAATTTTGGGAGTCTTTGGACCACCTTGGCCAACAACTCAAAGGAAGATTTCTCCTATGTGGCACTGTTTCTTGATATGTAGCCTTTAGCTATACACATAGACTCGTGTAGAGATAATGTATGTATAATTTGTCAGTAGGTTGTTGAATTAATAGGGTTCCATCTGGCTTTTTTTAAAAACTAGCTAGGCATTATTTAGCTCTTCTCTCTCTTTCTCTCTCACTCATTGTCTAACCTTTCTACCATGGTTTCCCCATTTAAATTGTCCCCATTTTCCCTATTTCTCCCTTGATAATAACCATCTCCTATGGTCCCACCCCTCTTGAGCTTTCTTTCCCTTTATTCCCAAGGTTCCTTGTGTAACTCTCCCTCCCATTTAAATAACCTCATTTTTATCCATTTCCCCCTCAGTAACACCTGTTTCCTACTGTTTTTCTCTCTCAGGTTCTTTCTTTCCCTCTACCTCCCTGGTTCCTTTACATTATTCTGGTTTCTGTCATTAATTATGGATACATACTCACCTCTAAGGATTTTGTGCTAGGATCCACATATGTGGGAGAACATATGCCATTTGTTTTTTCTGAGTCTGTGTTACTTCACTTGTTTCTAGTTCCATCCATTTGCCTACAAATTTCATGATTTCACCTTTCACCACTTTTTAAATTGATTCTTCAAGATCTCCATACAATGTATTTTGATCATATTCAGAACCCCTTAGAATTTCTGCATCCATCTTATTACTCCCACAACTTCATGTCCTTTATTATTTTTTTAAAGCTTACCAGGTCTAATATTTTTTCCCTAATGCCCTTTGGTGTGGGTCCATCCCTTGGATTCTGGTCAACCGGCAAGGCATCACCTTCGTCCCTCATTCAAGCTGGGTTTTTGTCTGATTTAGACTTGCACAGGTATTGTTCAGGCTGTCACAAGTGCTGTGGATTCACTGCTTCGTTTTGATGTCTTTCTTGTAAGAAATTTTTTTGCTAAAATGCCACATGTATAACTACTTCCATTCACCTTTTAAAAATCTATTACATGTATTTACTGCTGTGTGTGCATGTACATGTGCATGCATATGCCTTGGAGTACTTTACAGTAAGTTCTCTCCTTCAGCTATTTGCATCCAGGTGTTGAACTCAAGTTGTTGGGCTTGGGAGCCAGCATCTTCACTGACTGTCATCTCAGCCCCATTCACTTTTAAAGGGAGGCATTTAAAACAGGCAGGACACCCTGTGAATGAATTATATATTGGTTTTCAGCCCTATATGATGAAGATTTCATCCATTTATTAGATAATCTCAAATGCTGGAATTTTAGACAGCATCTTGGATTGGCCAATTTCCTGTCAGAAACACATTGTTTACCTCTGCTTTGCCCATGTTGTTGACTGTTAACTCAGGGAAGCAGCTCTAACTTTCATTGAGAATGTAAACTTGTGTACAGTTTTCCCTTCCGTAATTCCCACAAGTAGTGTCTTCATTGATTTACTTCTCCTACAAAACATCTTCTAGTTCTTTGAGTTTTCTGAAGTTTTCGAAGCAGGTTTCAGCTCTCTTTTGGGGGTTTGCCACACTTCTGCCACCACTTCTGTCCTCAGACTTGGGTTTCAGTCTTTGCTGATCTAGTTATTTGCCGCCTACTTCTTTTCTGGCTTCCAGGGCAGGGACTTTGCTCTACTTTGATGCTTTTGCTTCTTGTATATTAATATCTATTTGAATATTTAGTTTTTGGGATTCAATAAAGATCAGTAATGATATTTATGCTGAAAATTCAGAAGCTTTGCAGTGTTTTCCTGAGTATTATCATCAGCAGGCCAGAAATCTTGGACTATAACTTTGCTTCATTTAGAGGAGGCAGATCTCTTATGTTTGAAAAATAATCCTCTCCTCTGCTTTGCTTATTTTTCAAGTCTAGTTTCTGCACTTGAGAAATGTGAATGTTAAATGTTCCCAGCCGGCTGACACAGCTGGTGTTTGTAAGTGGCAGTAATCTGTTTTAGGGCTCTTTCTCTGAGCTGGATTTTGTTCAGCTGGGTAATAAAGTACTTGAACTAGGTTATCTCAAAGCTTTCTTCTATCTCTGATCATGTTAATTTGCCTTTAAAATATTTCACCCCAATATAGAGGCGAATACAGGAAGAATGTCATCATGGAGTATTAATTAGCAGGAGAAAGCAAAATAGGTATTTGTACTAAGTACAAGGAATGTCAAAGTTATAACTTGATTTTTTTCACCTATAGTCCAGTGATTACGTAGTTCCTATGGATTCATAGTTATTCATTAATACTGAATGCTTAATATTCTTTGTTAATAAAATATGAATATTCTTCATATAATATAATCTATATTTTTGTATGTATTACACTTGTTACTTGACACAGTTAATTTGTACTTCAGATTAGAAATTAAGGCCAGGCATGGTTGTGCACATCTTTAATTCCAGCACTTGGAGGCAAAGGCAGGCAGATCTCTGTGAGTTCAAGGCCAGCCTGGTCTACACAGTGAGTTCCAGGCTAGTTTGGGCTACAGGGAGACTCTGTCTCAAAAACAAACAAACAAAAAATTAGATTGTACTCATCAAAAAGATAATATATGTTATTTTATTAAAGGTGCTTTTTAGTTTTCTTTCTTGATTTCTACATTTCTTTTAGTTTCAGAAGCAACAAAAAAATTAAAGTTTCAATTCACCCTTTTTAAAATGGAAAGAAATATGTGTTCTATGCCAAAGTATTATTTAATTCACTTTGGTTTTGTGGTTGCTGAGAATCATAACGTGGTGATTGTTAGCTGTTTCAAATAATCATTTATCTCTAGTAATATATTGCATATATTAGATAAATCCAAGTTCCAAGTAACAAAGTAAGCCAGTGTGTGAAAGCCTTGACTTCATCAGAGATCAGAACTGTCTCACAAAGTTAGAATCTTAAAACACAGAAGCTTCTTACTATATTCATTATAGGTTTTAAAGAATATAGTACTTACCATTTTTAAATGACCTAATTTGTGACTGGTGATGATGTCAAATAACTGTCATCATGAGCTAGTTTATCACCCATAACTAGCTTGTCATTACAACTAGCTTATCCATGTGTAGCTTCCTTAGGGAAAAACTAAGAAATATTTTGCACATAGATATGTTATTCTTGAAAACACCATAGTTCAGAATTTGTGTTCTTCCCCATGCTAAGTATCAGTTCAAAATGAGGCAGAATTTGCTCTATGTATGGAATGCATTGGATATTGTAAAATATTTTCTTCTAGTAGAGAACCTAGGTTAGTATTAAAAATTATCATCAATGAAGTAAATGCTTGTTGGCTTTGCTGCATAATAAATTATGCAAAACTTAGCAGCTTACGCCAACAATTTTTTGTTTGTTTGTTTCTGTAACTGATTAATTTGCTATACAGTTTCCTGTTCCATGTAATTATCTGCTGTTTTAGAGATATCTAAGATGGCCTCTTCCCTCGCATGCCTGAAATCTCATGGGATTATTGGGACAGATGATGCCTTCCATAGCCCTCATCTCTCTGTATGTGCCCTTCTCACATGTCAATCCTGGGATTGTTTGTAGTAGCATAGTAGTAATTCTTTTGTGACAGCCACCTTGTAATAGGACAAGCCCATACACACAAGTGCTTATCAAATCTCTGTATCTTACTTCTTAGTTTCCTATTGGCAAGAGTAAGAGGGTCACTTTGTCCAAGCTGAAATTCAAGGTTAGAGGAAATTATCATTTTATAGATACTTGTGTATGTGACTCGTGGGGGAGATATATTATTAGATATATTATTCTGAGCTCTTTAGAGCCTTTATTATCCTAAAGGGTTCTTTGCCCCTCAATATTTCCATAGTTGTTTGTGACTATTCTTTTATACTTACTACAGTTTTTTCAGCTATTTCTGTATTTTTTATTATTAACTCTGAGACAGGGTTTCCCTGTAGCCCCAGCTGTCCTGGAGCTCACTATGTAGACCAGGCTGGCCTTGAACTCACAGAGATCTGCCTGCCTCTGCCTCCCAAGTGCTGGGATTAAAGGCGTGCATCACCATGCCCGGTTTGTATTCTTTTTTTTTACTGCAATGCTGAAAATTTTTAAGGCGAAATAATTGAATGTTTTGCTGTTTACCTCATGTATGTCAACAAACCTGTGCTTCTTTTAGAATACCCTCGAACAGAATCTGAATGGGAAAACAGCTTTGCACTGAAGATGTTCCTTTTCCAATTTGTCAATTTGAACAGCTCTATCTTCTATATTGCTTTCTTTTTGGGAAGGTAAATCAGCTTTATGCATGTTATGTTTACCAAGGGAAAAAACAAACAAATATAGTCAGCATTATCATTGCCAATTAGTTAACAGACATGGAAAATTCTTGATCCCTGCCTTAAAAGAGTGTGTTAATCAGCTTTTACATGCATTCTTATTCAAATGTCATCTGGCAGTCACTACTAATTAAATTTGGCACACACACAAGAATAAAAGTTGCATGCTATGCTTGAGTTAAATTATGACTATCCAATTATTGCTAATTATTATTTTGTTTAGGAAGAAAAGAATTTTCATGTAACCCTTAGAATTCCTTAGTGTGAAAACTTGGTTTAACAATGATTTTAAAGTTTTTTTCTCTTTGCTCCAAATTTTGAAACTAAAAAGTATTAAGTTAGCGGGCATGGTAGTGCACGCCTTTAATCCCAGCACTTGGGAGGCAGAGGCAGGCCGATCTTTGTGAGTTTGAGGCCAGCCTGGTCTACATAGTAAGTTCCAGAACAGCTGGGACTTCAAGGAGACCTGGTCTCAAGAAAAAAAAAAAAAAGTACTAAGTTAATGAACTTGGTTTATTATATAGTTAACACTCCACATGGTGCCATGGAAACATTCAGAAGCCAGAATTTTTTGAACAAAACCAGTCAGCACACTATGATGATATTCATTAACCCTGCCCACACAGTATTAAAGCTTTATATGGAACAATTAAGCATCATCAGGTTGGTATAGCTGCATTTTCTCCACAGCTTGGTAGTGGGTTCATGCATCACTTTCTCTTTTTTAAGTTAGTTATTGTGATGTTGTTTAAGCATAACAAAAGCCAGCTATATGCAACAAATTGCACCAGTGAGGGATTGTGTCTGCCCACACATGCACTCAGAGTGATGTGTCAGCTAGTGAACTTTACTTAATTGCTAATGCATTCAAACCCTTTTTTTCAGATTCGTAGGCCACCCAGGAAAATACAATAAACTTTTTGAGCGATGGAGACTGGAGGAGGTAAGTAACCACTTGAGAGTGGGTGTGTGGATAGGTATGGATAGGGCCAGTGACTGCGGGAAATAATGGGCTCAGGAGGGAAGATGTCCAAGCTTGATAAAGTCACACTTTCATAGAGGAGATTTCCTTTGTCTTCACAATTGATGAAGCTATAGTTATTCAAAAAGATGGTGTTTTTGAAAGTTTAAACACCAGTATTCTGGTCTCTGCTATCATCATTTGTTTTTTTAAACACATCTTTTGTTTCTGTTCACAAACCGTAAGAATGTCATTTCAGCAATGTTCCTCATTCAGAAAATTAGTGTTTTCTACTGCACATGTTTCCAAATAAAAATATGTTTTTCCTTTCAAGAAGGGAAACTTTAGTCTAACAGAAATCTTATTTCAAATAATATATAAGCATAAATATAAATATTAATATAATAGCATACATACAAAGGCTCATATTTTTTTATTGATTTATAATCTCTATGACCCAAAGACAAAAGTAGGAGCAATTTACTGCATCCTATGTACCTTCACCGAAACTGAGAAATTGTCCTTCAGAGAGTCAAAACACTGTTTAGAGTGTCTGGCCTCGTTTTCTCAGACTTCGGTCAATGAAGGCATCTGAGAGGGATCTAACTGATAAAAAGATATCTCCTGATTTTAGTTTCTTTCATTGAAAGTGAAATAAGAAATACATTTTGTTTGCTGGACATATTATATTTCTCTCTGCCTATGTGCTATTCCTATTGATTTTTATAAGACTCTCTCTGATGAGTAATCCATAAAGTAATAAAACTTGAATCTCTTCTTTCAAATTTGCTTCATTTTTTCCCATTTTTTTGTTTTTTCCTTGATATATCATTTTACAAAAATACCAAGCATTTTTGCAGTGCTGGACAGATGGCTCAGCAGTTAAGAGCACTAGCTGCTCTCGCAGAGGACCTGGGTTCAATTCCCAGCACCCACATGGCTGCTAACAACTGTTTGTAACTCCAGTTCCAGAAGAATCTGGCCCCACTCTTCTAACTTCTGCAGGCATTGCCCAACACAGGTGCACTTACACACATGCAAACAATACACTCATACACAGAAATAAAAATAATAAATATTTTTTTAAAAAACCAAGCATTTTTCAAAGAAAAAAAGTCACTTTTTTTGTTTGTTTTTTGTTTTGATTTGAGAAAGGGTCTCATGTAACCAGTACTGGCTTTGAATTTGTTGAGTAGCTAAGGATGTCCTTGAATGCCTGACATTCTTGCCTCTACCTCCCAAGAGCTGCAGTTGCAGATATGCATCACTATGACTGGCTGAAATGAAGTCCTCTTATTGAATTTCAGTATTTCTTCTCAGATCTAGAAATATAAACTCACTTTTATTAATGTTATTTTCTAATATTCATAGTGATAATTTTACCCATTAAGAGCTTATGTTGGTGTATACAGTAATCAAGAATTTTCTGCCAAATACAAGTCACCTATTTAATAACAAAAGGAGATTCTAGATTTATCAAAGCCTTTATATTATTATTGTGTCTACATCTGGACTCTGTTCTCGTTATCAGTCTACTGCTTCTCTAGTTCAAAGTGATTTTAATAATTCTAGTATAAAACCCAATTTAAGGGGCTGGAGAGATGGTTCCATGGTTAAGAGCACTGGTTTTTCTTGCAGAGGACCCAGGTTCAATTCCCAGGACCTACATGGCAGCTAACAACCATATGTAAAGCTTCAGTTCCAGGGGATCTGACATCCTCTTCTGTCCTCCACGGGCATTGCATGACACAGGCACACTTACATACATGCAGGCAATACACTCATACACATAAAATTTATATATATATAACATATATTTTCTTTAAAACATGACCAAAATCCAATTTAATATATTGTATTGCTACTATGAGGTCATAATTTAGAAATAGGTTAAGAAAAATTTACAAAGGCAAAGTGAGGAAAGAAATAGTACCAGTCTCTCTATACAAAGTTCTAGAAAGGCCTCATTTATGATCCCCATGCCATTCCAGAAATTAACTATGATAGATGGATGAAGCCTAAAACTTCCTCATAATATGCATATGTTTTACAATTTTTAAAAAGCCCCGCTCAAATGTTAATTATCCCTGGTATTTATTCTTTTCCCTGAATTTAGCTTTCATGACTATCTTGTTCTTCATGCTAAATAGGCAGTAGTAATACTTAGGTTGCCAGTGATTTATATATGAGATAACTTACATAACAGAAAGCACTGCCCTAGACTATGAGAAGAATGCCATAAATTTTTGTTGATACTTATCAGTGTTCTGGCCCTCCAGCTAAGACAGAGTAAGGTTGCATGTCATGATGCACGTCAGTAATGGTGAGCACTGTGCTGAGAGGGGAAGATGGTGAGTTGGGACAAACCTGGAATGCATAGTGAATTCCAGCCCTATATGGGCTACATAGTAAGAGACTTGGGGGGGGACGAGGAGGAGGACGAGGACGAGAACGAGGATGAGGAAGGAGGGAGAGAGGGAAGGAGGGAGGGAGGAGAAAAGAGAAGAGGAAGGGGAGGAAAGAGAAGATGACAAAGAAGAGGAAGAGGATGAAGAGGAGGATGAGGACGAGGAGGACAAGGAGGAGGAGCAAGAGGACTAAAATATTTCATAATGCCTGAAGTCTGTCTGTCTGTTGTTTAGTTTATGCCCAAGAAATATGTCTATATCTGGTAAGAGCCTAATCACTTACTCATTAGGGACTTAAGACTTTCTTCTCTTAGGAGAGTTCAGCTAGACTAAATAAGAAGAGTAAGGTGGGAAACAGTGGCTATAGCTATAGGTTTGCATGTTTAAGGGGCTGCTGCCACCATTAGCAGTGTTCAGTTCTACACTATTACTCTTAACTATGAAATTGTTGACAGTGTTGATTAATCCTTGAGAGTTCCAGAAAAATAATTATGATACTGGTGTCAGGAAAATGTCTCATAATCCTTCTAGACATTTTCCATTATTTATGAGACACATGGTGGTTATATTTTCCCACGAAGGAGTGAATGCTCTAAAAAAATGCATGCAATTTGTGATATGTCCTAGAAATTCCCAGATTATATAGAATATATGTAAAAAAAATAAGGACTGACACTCTAAATTCATTCACACAAGAAGTACTAATTGACATATGGACACAGTGAATGTGCAAATGAGAATCCCTTCACTTATTTGATTGCATTGTTATGAAGAATAGAATCTAGTAAGAAAAATATAAATATTTTGTCTTTGGGTTAGAAGAGTCTACATGCCTGAGTGTTCCCACCAAAGGTAAGATCTTGGCCTGTGAATCTTAATTCCTTCCTTTGTAAACCAATATTAAGAATTATTACAGAATTCCAGGTCCTTGAGTTAAACTGGATCACTCATCTAAAATAAAAGGCTCAAGTGATAGTAATGATTACAAAGAAGACGATAGCACTTTAATCTGTTTTAGAACATTTATGAACTGGATATAATGGACTTGTAACTCTCATACTAGAACTGTGTGATTTTTCACAAAAATATCTTAAGTAAATTCATTATTATAATTTTAAAATAGAAGTATTTACATGGTAACATATTCCAGATACTGTTACTAAGTGCTCTTCCTATACAATTTCATTTAATCCTCATAACAATTCTTTTGATATATTTATTTTATAGATAAGGGGAATAAGAATAGAGAAGTTTTATAATTTACCTACAATCATAAAAATCAATGAAATTAAGAAATACTCTGTTCCAAAGGCCAAAAATGTCAAAAGTATTTGGGAGCTTGTATCTAGTCCTTTAAAGATTTTAGGGTTACCTCTTCAATGGGGGAATGTTGGAGGGGAGGGAGTAAGCATGGATTTGATCAAAACACCTTATATGCATGTATGAAATCTTCAATAAAGATTTGTAAAAAGTTTAAAAAAAAAGACTCAAATCTGTGCTGCATAACTTCAGAGACTGTGCTCTGAACATGTTTCCATCCATCATTGGGATAGAATAATATGACCAAATACATCATGGAAAATGTATTATGCTAAGATTGTTATCTGATTTCTGACTCACTTGTGGGTTAGATTTAGAGTCAAAATTCTAAAGTAGGTGAGCTGAAGGAACATGGATATCTGCTCCTAGCTTCCTCACAGATAGTATACTAACACTCACCCCCAACACCACACACACACACACACACACACACACACACACATACACATACATACACACACACACACACACACACACACACACACACTTGTGAGCATATGATTTGAATGGTGCAGGCATTACCTAATGCCTGGATTTTGTACATCCATCTTTGTCCATTTAACATTCTAGGTAGGAGATGTTTTTACCAAATGAAGCTTAAAGTACTGAAGAGCTTTAGCTCAAGGCCTTCACTATGTGAATAGGACAAACTATCACAAACCATTGGATTCCTTGCTCATCTCTGATAGATTTATAAATTAAAAATTCTTCAAAGCTCAGCATCAACAAAATTGTTATTGACCTGCCTTAAACCTCCCCACTTTGTTCCACCCTTTGTGGGAATGATCCAATCAGACAGCTCTGACTGTTTTCTTTCTCCTGTCCCACATATTAATATACGTGTGATAAATCTGTACTTCAAGGCAAGTGACAGGGTTGATAAACAGAATATATCCTTAGCATAATGCCTTAGGGGAAGGAGACCACAGGTTTCTTCCCTCAACACCAGCCTACACTGTAGGCCCCACGCAAGTCAATTTGCCTCAAAGTCTACAAAAATGAGACGCAATCTCATTGATCTATGATCTGCCCCTGCAGCCTAGTCTTTCAAATTCATACGTTATGCTAAATACACCCATGGTATAATGTAAGGAAGAAGTCAGGGAGTCCTAAATTCATCCTAGAAAGAAAAGATCATTGGATGATACAACATGGGTCCTGCTTCGCAATGAGCATGACAACAAGCAATCTTGCTCTCGGGCTCAGATGAGAGAACACTGAGCAACTGAGCTAGACCAGGAAAAGCAGACTCACTCTTTCATGTCCTAATTATTTATTCCCTTTGAAGTCCCACTAGTATCAATTTGACAGAAATAGAAACTGCAGATCAAAGCCATAGAAACTATCCTTCTTATAAGGACATGAAACCATTTCTAGAGAACCAGACCCACACTTTCCACCCGAATGATTTTTATAGAGCGGAGTTTCAAGCAATAAATACTAGTTACAATACACATTGAAATCACCTATCTACCTATCATCCATCTATCTATCATCTATCTATCTATCTATCTATCATCTATCTCTCATCTGTCATCCATCGGTGTGTGTGTGTGTGTGTCTGTGTGTGATACCAACTTATTTAAAATATTTTTTAAAGCACACAGAGAAGAAACACTTGGGATAATACTGACAAGCTATTTGGGTCATGTATTTATTTCATGAACATACATTTTTTAAAGATATTATTCATTCTCCAGGATGTAGATTTTTAGCACCTTTCTGCTATCATGAGCATTAACTGGACTGAGTGTCTTACAGCTAAGTAAAGGGAAGAGAAAAATGAACAACTTTCCAGTGAAAAATTCTAGAAATCAATATGTAAACCAGTTAATTAGGCCAATATCCACAGGGACATTCTGATATGACGTAGCTCTGGCAGGATGTGACGGAAGTGGCACTTTCACTTTCATGATTTGCCTTCCAAAACATATAACCCTTGTCTTAACAGAAGAAAACACAATATAAATCCACATTAGGTGACACTATGCATTGTATTCATACAGTGTTCTTTAAAACTCTCAAAATTATAAAAACTGCAGAGCAGAAGAAAATGGGGAGACATGGAAGATATTCAATGGAGAATGCTGAGTCATACTGTTGTTTAGAAGTACTGCAAGAGAAGAAGGAAAAACAAATAGAGACCACACTTCAGTCAGTTCTAATGCACTAATGTTAGTTTATTAGCTTTGAACTGGATGAGAATAAATTGCTGAACTGTCTTTGAAACTTGCTGAACTGTCTTTGAAACTTTTCAGTAAATCTAAAATTATTCTGAAATGCAAATGTTTATAAGAAGAAAATATTATATATATATGTATTGTGTCAGAACTATTTTCTATTACCTAATTATTCATGGATGTAAAACATTCCCTATCATTTGTTAAATGTGATTATGATTAACATTAGGAGATAGTAAGTACTCACAGAAAGTTAGTTCATCAAAATTTCGCTGTCATACAGGTTTTCTTCCTTGTGTTCTTTATTCTTCCTTTTACATAATATGATAGGGCCTAGGTATATAATTTATTGCACAATTTAAAGTTAAGGGTGTTTTAAGCAGCTGAGGGAAAAGCAGGCTAACTGTGGCTTTTACTGTTCTATTTTAGTGTCATCCTAGTGGTTGTTTGATAGACCTCTGCCTGCAGATGGGAGTTATCATGTTTTTAAAGCAAATATGGAACAACTTCATGGAACTTGGATATCCGTGAGCATGTTCTTTTCTTTTTTTATTTGCTTTATATATAGTTACAGTTTAAGGTTGGTGATCAGACAGAACAGCTGCCATTCTGACCATTACTTCATGTGTGACTACATGCAAGTTAAAGATTTCTAAACCTCACTTTTCACATCTTCAAGATGAGGTAGACAGTTATGACTACCTCAAGACAGTTAAAGGAGTTAAAGGAAATAAAGTAGTAGAGTACTGTTTTTGAAACATTACCAACTTAAGTTCTTAGAAATAAAAATTGTTTTCTGGTATCTTTGAGCTATCAACAGATGAAGGATGATGGTATGTTATTGTTAAATAGAAAGGGCCCTCATTCCTTCCAAATTTAAAATAAAAGATTTTGGATGGGACAATGTTTGGTAATATTTTTTCCTTATGCTTCTCTCACCTTAACACCCCCCAAAATCGTTACACCCAAATTGATGTGATAATGTCAAAATGTTGGCATTCTAAGTTTGCTCTTTTTGGCACGTTCTGTCTCTGAAATGCTGGCAGATGATGACTGCACGTTTTAATACTTTCCATCAAAATGAATTAAATACTAGGTATTTAATACATTCTGGTAGTGTATATATATGACCTATTTCAAAGTATAAAACATGATTATTTGAGTGATTTTCTATAAGGAAAAAAATTATTTGGTTGATGATATAAATAGGTCAGATTTGTTCATTAAATTTTACTTTGTGTTTTTATATTTCCCTACAAATAATGATGCTCTTAAGTCAGAAAAATAGGGGTGGAAACTAGAAGTTACATTATTCAGCAGCCTGCCACCAAGTATTGGTTAAACTAAAAGGTTTAGAGCGCGAATTGACAACTGCACGGACCTCACTTTGATTCTTTCTCTGATTTACTAATTTTGTTTAGAACTTTATTAATTCTCTGAAATTTATTTTCTTGCTGTTATTGTTTTCATTTTTAAAAGTAGGGGATTCTTAAAGATCAAATGAATTTAATGGATTTTACATTTTAATCATATATAATAAACTATTTTAAGCTGTATATCAAACATATTTAGAACAGATTAAAGGAAATCTCTTCTAAATGTAAACAGTATATGGACTAGAGAGCCACGAAGCTTACACACTTGTTCTGTCCCTTCCCCTCCTTGGCATACCACTTTAAAATGTGGCGTATAGAAAACATCATATGAACACCACTGAGGAAACTGACATCAAGTGTGTGGCACAGGATTCTGTCTGCCACGAGCACTGTATAGGCTCCAACAGGATAACATCATGCAAAAACACGGCTCTCATCTCAAAGAGGATAAGAGATAATTTATTCTGGAACCAAATATGAGTGACTATAGCCTGGGAACACAGATTTTGTTCATTCTAAAGTCTATGCTCCAACATGGAAGCAACTCCATCAAGTTTTTACAGTAATAGAACAAAGTCATAAATCTTTTCAAATACATCATTGTAAACATTAGGTAAACGGGTTGAAACAAAGTGGGGAAATCTCTGTTACAGTCCTCAGATGTTATCCAACTGTATTCTCAGCCTTTTAGTTGGTTGGAAAACTAATGCTTAGCTAGGACATTCCTTGTGATTTAACTATTGGTCACAAAACTGTTAGGTCAGGTATAGAGGAGGGCAATAAGTGGCTGTAAATAATGCTAAAGGCAGCTTGAGATAAATTGGCTCCAGACTTACAACATTCCTCTATGTTCTAGTCAGTTAATCAGCCTTGCAGAAAGTTTGATTTGAAGGTACAACTTCTTTATGGGAAATTTTGTTCACAGTAGTCATCATTATCTGTGGCCTGCTGTGTACATCATACATGTCAGACCACATTTTAACCATGGCCTTGCTCAGATGGTCAGCCTGGATCATGAATATCAAGTAGTGAGGAAGTGATAGCCAGAGATATCCAGCTGATGTTTTTCAAACTTATGGACAAAGGGGGAAAATTTAGCAGAAATGGACTAATCACCAAATAAATAGTTTTCAAAATTTTAACCTACAAGTCTCTATTCAAATAAAATTTAAGCAAAGTCAATACAAATCAAATAGAGATGAGCAGAACTAGGTCAAGTCCAACTTCCTCCCCTTTTACTTATTCATGAGCGTTCAAGAGCAACCTCTGTGGGGCATTCCCTGAACACCACCTGATACTTTAGTCAAGATCTGTATGTGCTCCAACTGCTACTGAAGCTTCATTGAATTAAACTTTGAGTTTGAGTTTTAGGTACTATTTACCAAGTTCTAAGAATTTCGCCTCATTTTACAGTAAGTTTCCTCAAATTCTTAAGTAATTATTTACAAAAAGCCTAGCATATTATGCATACGAAGATATTTCTCATTTATATAGTATATGGTCTTCCCAGTCCAGAGACACAACATTGCTGTTTCTTTTCAAGGCCTCAGAATTTGACTCATGTAAGCAGATCGATCATCTGACACCTGTTCTCTATTATAGTAGTAGAGTGTAGACACTGGTGCTCAAACTTCTCATGTTTATAAGCTCAAAGAGATGAAGTGATTTAATAAAAATCCTACATCTAATACATTGCAGGATAGGAGCCAGAACCCAGGTCTCTTAAAACCTTGTGTAGAACTGTTATTTTGTGCAGAATAAAATTGTATTCATATTCACAAAGAACAGTCCTGGAAATATAGTATATAAGCAATGAAAGGCTCAGACCTAAAGGCAATAGGGAACTTGGAGTTTATTTTTATAGGAGGTAATTAGATAAGAAATACCACTATCAGGACCACTTCAGTTTATGGACAATGAATTCCTAATAAGTATCTAGATGTTCAGAAGCCTGAATAGATTCCTAGAATGGTAGAACTTTCTTTCTTTTACTAAATCTTTGATTTTAATTTTGTAATTTAAAGGTTTAAAAATGTTTTAAAGTTGAGACTTTTTTTTAACATATTTACAAGTTGAAACCACTAAAGAGCTCCATTTCCTAGGAATGTTTGATGCAATCCAAGAGTAGTTGGTGTTTGCTGTTTCTTAATGAAATATAAATGAGTCCCCAGATGCTTAAATGAGATCACACAAGTTCTTGATCTGCTCTTTGATGCAGGCTGATCCAGAACTGGTGGTCACGACATAAAATCAAGCGGGGAATACAGGATGTGTCCATACCACAGTGGGAAAATGACTGGAATCTGCAGCCCATGAATATCCATGGGCTGATGGATGAGTACTTAGAGATGGGTAAGGAAAGATTATTCTGCAAGACCAGTTGACTTTCTTGATACTATTTTTCTATTTCACATGGGCTTTTCTTTAGAAGAACAACTTCTCTCCTTCCAATCCTGAAATTCAAAAGTGTATGTTAACCTTTAAGCAAAGTCAAAGATGTGAAGCAGTGACCTTGGAATTTCACTTGTTTTATACTCAAAGAGTCACGACATTTAGCCAAAATGAAGTTTTTCTCATAATAAATTCCCTGGATTTGGGGAAAACATCAGATAAGATTTGACTGTGTAGCTAAGGCTGATCTTATACTTGCTATATAACTCAGACTGACCTTGAACTAGCAATCCTCCTGCCTCAGCCCCTCCCAAGCACTAGGATTATAAGCATACGCCACCACACTACATACTTCTGAAAATGTTTTGATAAAAGAAACTAACGTTGTATCAACTCATTTATAAAGAAATGAAACATCTCCCTCAAAGAAAGTAATGTTTATTTTTTTGCAATAAGTCTTTTCTTAAATCCAGTCTGAGTCTTGCTTCTTCAAGACCCTTATTTATATGAAGAAAACATGTTTTCCCACTCGTGGTTAAAATTGTTGGTTATTGACATATTGCTATTTTCTGACCTTCAGTTTTCTCATCTGTACACCAAGAAGACAAGACAGAACACTACAGGTCCTTTGAGACCCTTCCAGATCAAATGGTTTCCTTCTTCTTTGCCTGTCTTTTTGATGCTTCCTCTCCCTCCTCTTCCTTCCTCTTCTTCCTCTTTCCTTTTTGTTCTTCCTTCTTTCTATGTTATGTAGAGGTGGAAAGCACCAAAAACTTAAATCTAGTCACACCCAAGATTAAGGCCAGCTTTCTATTGGCTACATTTTTGAGACAGGGTCTCCCCATATCCCCTGCTGTCCTGGAACTCATCAACAGACTGGCATCAAACTCAGAGATCTGCCTGCCTCTACCTCCTCAGGGCTAGAACTAAAGGCCATGTGCCACCATGCCTGGCCTTAGTGCAGTGTTAAAATTTTTCTATCCCTCTACCCTCTAAAAAGTTTAACTAACATGTAGGAGCTCAACCTTCTTCAAATGCAAAATGAGATAAACATTATTTGTCTTGTAGGAGTATTGACATGATTGAAGGCAATTCATCTAAAGTTCCTAATTTGACACAAAGAGGTGGTTAGTGTATGTTATGTTTATGTTTAACTCCCTGATGCTCCTGTCTTCCAGTTTTGCAATTTGGATTTACCACCATCTTTGTCGCTGCTTTTCCTCTGGCTCCTCTCTTGGCTTTATTAAACAATATCATAGAAATCAGACTGGATGCATACAAATTTGTGACCCAGTGGAGGAGGCCTCTGCCAGCCCGAGCAACTGACATAGGTAAGATTCAGAAATTAGGTGGTTTGTGCTATTATCATTAAGTACACAATGGTAATTCACATGTTGAATATTGGCATGCACCTGTCTTAGTAGTAAGACGTACGAAGTTTAGGAGGTTTTTAATTCAGGAGGGCAAAGTAATCAGAGGAGGGATTAGTCACTTAGTGAAAGGGTTGAAGAATGAGCTCATTCTCTTGTGCTCTCCCACATGGTTGGGAGCAGTTAGTACACTATAAAAGACATAAGAAGGACATGGACTAGAAGCAGAATATGACACCCTCATTAGACATTGAGACTATTGTCTGCAATCTTCATCTTGGCTTCCCTACCTCCAGAATCATGAGAAATAAAATTCTGCTTTTTAAAAATTATCCAGTCATGGGTATTTTGTAGTAGCAGCACAAACAGATGAGAGTAACATGGCTTGATCTTGCTCTTACTAGCACCCTGTAGGCTCCCTTGTGGGGCTCCTTCCTAACCATAGCAAAGTCAATTTGAGTTAACAGAATAAAAGCATCAATTTAGTTGGAAATAGGTTCATATTAAACATACTGTTTCACAAATTGTAATTAAAGGATCTCGTATGTACTCTTCATGGGAAGAAACATTACTATAGCTTTTGCTGCTGAGCTTCTTACTTATACATGCAGCAGATGCGTGGGTTGCTTCAGGACATTGCTATGAGAGAAAGATTGAGAGGATCATTTTAACATGCACTTTAATTTATTCAGGAAAAAAATCCTTGTATAAAACTTTTGTGTAAAACATGTGCCTTTACATTTTTGATAAATAATTTCAATGTTTCCCAGAAATTCTGTGCCACTTTACCCTCCCACCATGGGTACATATGTGTATGTTTACCTATTTCCTTAGCTACTCTACGCACAAAAAAAAATCTGAAGAGAAAAAAAACATGTTAATCTAGTTACATTTACTTATATTTTTAGTATCATATGATTAAATCTATTTGCATTTCATCTTTCTACAATAATTGTTTTATGCACTTTAGCCCTTATATCTATCTTGGTAATCCTTTGGGAATGTGTGAACATGGTGTTGAGTGTATGTGCTACGTGGGCATGTGTGCATGTGAGAGGGTGTGGGTCTTTTGGAAGCCCAGATTGATGTCATGTATCATTTTTGTTTCTTCTCTGCATTTTTTTATTGTTTTGGGTCATAATCTCTCCATGACCTTCAGGGCTCTACCTGTGTCTACCCAACGCTCACATCCTGTCATGTCTCCTCCCCACAAGGCTGGCATTACAGACATGTGCCTGTCATCCCTGCTTTTTGCTGGAGTCCTGGGGATCTGAAATTGGGTCTTCATGCTTGCATGGCAGAAATTTTACCTACTGAGCCTTCTGCCCAGCCCCTATTTTGCCAATCTTTAACTCTATATTGGAGTGTTAACTATTGATAAATGTATTTTTTACTTTTTAAATTTTAGTTGATTGTGATAAGGTTTTAAAATTCATATGTGATTAAATTGATACACCTTCCTTGTGTATTATCATTCAAAGCTGTCTCAGGAAAGCCCCCCCCCCAAAAAAAAAGTAAAAAGAAAAAGAAAAGCCCAATGGAGCTTAGGAGTTTCCACTCAGTTTTTTGGTTTCTTTGTTTTTGGTTTTTCGTTAATCATTGTTTTAATTTTAGATGTATTTGTGAGGACCTTTTTCATTTATTTGTAATTTGTTGGCATTATAAGATTATATTTAAATTATTATTCTATCTGGAATTTGTTACTGATGAATTCAAATTCAACTTTCCTTTTGTTTGTTTGTTTTTATCCTAATGCATGACTTTACCTAAACCATTTATTTAGTTTTCAGTATTATTTAAATGGCCTCTCTTATCAAATGCTTAAATTTTCAATAAACTTAAGTGCATTTTTAGATCTTATTTTCCTCAATAATCTGATTACTTATCATCTGTACTTCTTGAAGAAACTAGTTTTTCAAGAGAAAGTCCAAGCATATTTGAAAGAAATTCCACATTTTTCCCTTTCCTTTGGAAGTTTTTTTTTTTAATTACTGCAAGTTTACATTTTCAGTTTATTTCACTCATTTATATATTCCATAAAATTTTATATTTTTGTTGTAGTAGTATATACAGATATACAATGTACATATAGTTTAAATTATAATACGTAGGCCCACTAAATTAAAAAATACACTTCAGTTTAAATATTGAATTATTAATAAGAAGACCTAATAAGTCATTCCAAGTTTATTATCACAGTTTCTGAATAACACTCCATGTTATAAAAATTTCAAATCTCTGAATATTTTTTGACTTAAAAAAATCATCGTTGTGGTTATTAAAATGGCTCTAAAACTGAGATTCGACCATTGGTTGGTATTTGTTTTGTTTTGTTTTTTTCCCCTTAGCAGTTTGCATAGTACCCTCTAAAACTATGAGAGATAATCTTCAGGTAGAAGGCATTCAAGTCAGTTCCAGCACCATTGCTCCAAGTCCTATGTCCAAAGTATGTCCTGTCTTCAGCAATAGGGTCTTACCTTCAAATTCTGGGAGGCAATCAAGGGTGTGCCAGTAGTTTGTGTAATCTGGGGAGTCTCTTGGACTAACCTGACCAACAACTCAAAAGGAGGTTTCTCTTGTCTGGCATTGTGTTTCTTGTTATGTAGCCTTCAGCAATACATACACACTTATGTTGAGATATTGTATGTGTATTTTTCAGTAGGCTTTTGAACTAATGCTTTTCTGTCTGGTTTTTCACACCACCTAAGCATTATTTATCTCTCTTTCTCCAAGTCTAAACCTCCCTGTTCCCTCCCTAGTGAAAGTATATTAATGTTTCCCATTTCTCTCTAGACAATACCTTTCTCTTATTAGCTACATGGCAAGTATTAAAAATGAGACATATATTGAATATAGGTTTTTCAGAGTTATGCAACCATCTAGAACATAAATAATTGTAATTTTCATCATCTCAACAAGTTCTATATATTGGTTTTAAAGCATCAAAGGCACTCATCCCAAATCTCATTATAATAGTCCCAACCTGGACCTTAAGGTATTTCGATTTTCAAATCTTGATAGGCTTATATGCAATAGTTCTAATATATGGAGTTCAAGATACTGTAGCAAGAAAGTAAATGAGGGGCCAAGGAGCTGAAGAGATGGTTCCTTGGATCTTCCAGCAAACAAGAGCTCAGTTACGAGTCCTCAAGTTGGGGTGGCTCAGGGTTACTCACAACCACCTGTAATTCCAGCTTCAGGGGATCTGCTGCTTTCTTTCTGCCCCCTGTTGGTACTCACCCACATCTATGAACACATGCACATACACACACATATGCACATACACATGCACACATATGCATATGCATACACATGATGCATATACATACACAGAGACACATTTTTAAAGGAATAATAAAATTGTTCAATAAAAGAAAGTAAATGATGACAGAAATGTGGCTCCAAAATAAACAGAAAGTTCTTTTCAAAATAGGATTAATCAGAGTGCTTTTCTATCTTGTCCACCTTTGTTCTCTCTAATCTTACTCCTACCAGGTATCTGGCTTGGAATTCTCGAAGGAATTGGCATCCTGGCTGTGATCACTAATGCATTTGTAATCGCTATTACATCTGACTACATCCCACGTTTTGTCTACGAATACAAATATGGCCCTTGTGCAAATTATGTAAAACAGAATGAAAAGTAAGGGTAAAATTTACATATTTTTGTTCTGTCTTATGTTTTTAGTTAAAAGGAGAACCTACTGGAACATTTTGTTTTGTGACCATAAAAAGTCATGTTTCTAGTCACTGCATTTATAGTGTGTTTATTAAATGAAATCAACTGAGGATGAAGAAGAATGGATTTTATATTTTATTATTTTTAATTTATGTGTATGAGTGTATTGCCTTATATATGTAAGTGCAATTGTGTTATGCAATGCCCTAGGAGGTCAGAAGAGGATGTCAGGTCCCCTGGAACTGGAGTTAAGGATGGTTCTTAGCCACCATGTGGGTGCTGAGAACCAAACTCGGGTCCTCTGCAAGAGCAGCCAGTTCCCCTAACCACTGAGCAATCTTGCCAAACCCTAAGAATATGTTTTGATTTTTTTTTTTACAGCAAATGATTTTAGAGTATAGATTTTTGTTTGAAACTGTACCATTTGTATCAAAATGCAAAACTTATACTGTATTTAGAAGTTCATTTCTAGAATCAGAAAAGATTTTAAAACCATTCAGTGCAATCATCTTACTGTGCAGACAGGGAAAGTGAAACCCACACAGGTTAATAACAAAGAGAACAAAACGTTTGAAGTGAGATACAGAATCCAGAAAGACTCTAAATTCTGTGCCTAGAAATTTAGAAAATGAAGCTACAGCGGAGGAGATTCTACTGATGCAGAATCTTCCCCTTCACACAGCTAGCATGTGTTTTCTACTACAATTTAAATCTATATTTTAACGTTGCTTAGCGTATCATCCTCCACAGTGTGAACGTTTTTGTTTGGTTTTGCTGTTGACATCTTAATCATGTATATATTTAGAAAGGGGCTCCTTTCCCACTGTAGGATGCTTTGTAGTGTATGTGACCTCAAACCAGTTGATACACAAGCAGCTATACTAGCCCACAAATTCTGACAACAAGTATCGCTAGACTTTGCAAGCTGTCCCCTGGGAGACAAAATGACTTAGTTTTGCCAAAGTCCTTAGGGAATATTTGTTATTTCAGGTCTTTCGATTGGAAAACGTCTGAATAACAATGCAAGTGAGCCAGGAATACAGAGCACTGGGAGTGAAAGAAGGCTTTATGGGGGCTCAGCCTTAGAGGTGAAACCTGTGAGAAAAGGCCGAATAGTAGGAGAAATACTTCTCCCTCAGAGGCAGCCTGAGGCTGAAGTCTGTGTAGGTAGTGGACCACAAGGGGGAGGAACCAGTCTTCAGGATGTCAGTAACCTTTAATTAACTCTACTAATGAACTGATATTTCCCCAGAACACTAAAAAAAAAAAAAAAATCTTTTTTTAAAAAAAAGAAGTGATAGCCAGGCATGGTGGTGCATGCCTGTAGTCCCAGCACTTGGGAGGCAGAGGCAGGAGGATCTCTGTGAGTTCAAGGCCAGCCTGGTCGACATAGTGAGTTCCAGGACTGCTGGGGCTACAGGGAGACCCTGCTTCAAAA